ATGTAGGCTTGGGCTGGGGGGGCCATACTTTTGGCCTTCATTTAATATGTGAACTGGACCGAGCTCCTACAGTTAATTTGTTATTGTTAGCGATTGCTCCTCCGGCCTCCTCCTAATTGAAATATATTTGCAAAAGTTTGCGTTCAATTTGCATTAAATTCCATTTAAATGTAACTCGAAATGGAACTCGAAACTCGTAACTCCGGGGGAGGGGAAACTCATGTGTCCACCTCCCTGCCAGCTTGTGGCGATGAACCCATTTTATCCCCGGCTAAAGTGGACTCTCAACATTGGCCCAGAAATGAACTGACAGAGCTAACTCTGAGCTCTCAGCACCCCCTAAGCAGTAAGCCAACTTAATGACCACTCATTACCGCTAATTGATTTCAATTAAATCACGCCCCAAACGGCAACCGCCAAGAAGGCGGAAGGAAGTGCGGCTGATGTTGCCACAACAACTTAAACAGCAATTACAAAAATAATCAGGAAACAGTAGAGGCAACAATGGGCCAAGACGAACAAGAGGAAATGTCGGGGGGCACTAAAACAAGCTAGAAGGGATGTGTGTGGCCAGGCCTGACTGACTACTGGTTCTTTGCATAACTTTTGCCTATTTTGCTTAACTCAATAAAAGCGCCAACACTTCCAGTAGCCTCAATTCTTCCTCAGTTCCAGCCTAACGACCCATCAGCTGCTGGACAGCGGCAAAGATTTTCGGCCAAAGTTAATTACGACTCATTGGGTATGCGCCGAAAAGTTTTCTCCGACTCTGGCCATATCTCTGATGGAGCAATTAACAATGGAACTACACTTTCTAATTGGATGAAACGCTTTGCAAGTTCTCCGTTCTGCCTTATTCGTTATGCTTGGCTTAATAGCTCCGCCAGGCGGAGAGAGTTCCTTCACCAGGAGTCGTGTATTTGCGTTGAAAGGGAATATGAATAATTAAAAATAAACATAGAAGAGATGGACAAAGTGTTGTATAAGATGAAAAAAAAAAAATATATAAATAAAAACAAGAAAAAAATAATGTAATAATAAAAAAAAAATTGTTTGCATCGGCCGGGAATCGAACCCGGGCCGCCCGCGTGGCAGGCGAGCATTCTACCACTGAACCACCGATGCTCTTGTCTTCCTCTTGCCCAACAGGCTTGTAGAGCTACATGACGTCACTAGTATGGGAGCTTAGCTACTGAGAGAGCAAGAAAGCAAGCTAGAAAAAGAAAATGCGAGAGCAAAAAAGCCAAAAAGAAAGTGAGAGAGAGGGACAGCATGAGTGTGAGAGAGAGAGCTCTCTGTCATACAGCCTTGGACGATCATCTGGTTTCCGTGGTGTAGCGGTTATCACATCTGCCTAACACGCAGAAGGCCCCCGGTTCGATCCCGGGCGGAAACAGGTTGCATTTTTTATATTTAGTTTGTATTATTTAATTTTCTTTGTTATTTAATATTTTTCAAAATATTTTTCTTTGAGATAAAAACTTTAAAACTTAAGTGTCAAAATATAAGAATTAATCAATAAATAGTTTTGGGTAAAAAAAGTAATTTTCCTTATGGTTTAAAGTATAACCGAAAACAACAAATTAAATATTTTTATTAATATTTATTAATTAATTCCTTTATTTTGATACTAAAATGTTCCTTATTATATTTATTTTTTGCTAAAATAACCATTTAAATTTAATCACCAGTCTTTGAGGTAGCCAAAAACCAGCAATTAGCTTGCTAACTGAAAACAATTACTAAAACAAGCCAACAGGAACTTTAGGTGGACGATCCCTTATTTTCGGAACTTTTTCAAGTGTCTGACACGGCCTGCGCTGGCCTTGGCACATGCCTGGGAAGCAGGATGACCCTTGGGTGTGGGGGAGACTAGAAGATTCCTCCTCCAAGTCGCCGACAAGAAATTAATACAAATAGTCTGCAGTGGTCTTGGCCGTAGATTACACTTTCGCAGACAGATTCGCACTAGACGGAGGGGACTTTGGCTGGACAGACTCTGTTTGTCCACTTGGAGGACAGCCTGGAGAGCCTGGAGAGTCCATTGAGAGAGTAATTGGTACGTAGCCGTCGGATACGGTGACTCCCTGACTCCCCTGTCAGCCGCAGTTATCAGCTTGGTAAGTTTCTACAACAGGATACGAAGTTTTCTCTGAGAGGGTAGACCAGACTTGAGGTCGAAGCTTAGGGGAGCATCTAGCAAAGGGATTCAGGATTACTGGGTATTCTTTAGTCGATTAAGACGACCATAGACCGTGGACCCTCTGCGGCGGGAACTGGCTAATGCGCTTTAAGAAGCTTCCACTGCGGCTCACGGCACAGTAAATTATTTATTGGGATATTTGGCTGTTGAATCCGAAACACTTACGAGGCGCCGGAAAGTGAAAAAGTTTTAATAGAATTTCTTGTTTGATATCCCATTGCTTTGTGTTGTGCCATCATCCCCACTCAACTCAACCCCATCCCATTCCAATCCCAATCGCAATCCCTATACCAATCCCGGATCCCAATCAACTTGAATCCAGCCGCCATTCCGAGGCGTTAGTTACATTGTATCCACATCCACCGGCTTTGTTCGGTTCCTCTGGCATGTTTGTTTGTCTATTTGTAAGGTCGTTTTGTTCGCACTTAATGTTTTGTTATTATTGCCTTCGAAGTGCTGTCCCGAGTTCTTGGGTAGATGGTGGAGAGCAGAGGTGGCCAGGATACCCTAGGTCTGGGCAGACCTTATAAGATGCGTAAAGAAAGCAATTGTTAATCGTTGATCCGATATATCAAACATAATATCGATTTAAACATTGTCGTGACAACAAAATTTAAAGAGAGCCTGGAGCCCGCGTTACGCATCTTGTTACTTGTACAGTCTCTAGTACTAAACACAGGGTAACTGTGCCCAATCCAATTACATAATTAGTTCAACTAAAGCCCAGATAGTGGGTGTGCGTGTGTTGACTCTGGACTAAGTACTACCGATTCCGATTCTTTGTTTGTCAAACATTTGATTTGATTGCCCAAAAATCTGGCGCACAATCTGCGCGAACGGAAAGAGGGGCGAACCCCCGAAATATGGCGTTATAATAATTTTCATTGCGAAATTTACACATGCATAATTAATTAGTATCAAAAATTTAATACTCACACTTTGTATCTGCTTAAATATTTACACTTCGTGCCAAATTTGTATGCAAATCGCTTTGCTACAGACTGACAATAACGAGTGTGTGTGTGAGTATACATACGCACAGCCACACGCCCTTACAGCACCCATTCACACCCACACAGACACACAGGCACACGCGAAATGTCAGACAATTAAAAAAGCATACAGCACAGGGCATTCATTTATATTTTATTATTTATTATTATTTTTTAATATATATTAATAATATTAATATATATAATAATATAATTAATAATAATATTATATTATTATTTTATATATTTATATTATATAATTATTATATATTATAAATTATTAATGTTTATCATTATTTAATATTATTTATATATTATTATTCATCAATATTGTTTATATCCTATATGTTCCTAGCTTAATGACCCTGCCTGTAAGCCCGTCCAGTTTTGGGTAAACAGAATCGAAAACGGGTTGCCTGCCGCTGGCGTTCCTGTCGGCTCCCAAAGGCACCCACTCAACTCAACCCCTCCGCCGTGGCTGGGCGATTGGACCAGGGCTTTGGCCGTGGCTCTAGAAGCTGGTGGGGGAGTCTGGGATCCTGGGAGTCTGGGAACTGGCAGGGGGATTGGCAAAAGGGTCGGTTGCTGCTGGCGTTGATTGTTGTTTTTGAAAACCCTTTTGGTGTTTGCATTTAACGAACAGGGCCACAACGACAGCGGCAACAAAAACAACAATAGAGCCAATATAACAGTTGTGAGGACGATAGATCCTGGACTTGGATGGTATGCAATGGCAGGGGTTGGGAATGAATGGCCTGGACTGGGAGGGGTCGGTTGGTCGGGTCGGTCTGCCACTGGAGCTAATAAAAGGCTCGTTACAATGAAAACAAATCAAATCGCTGGCCAGGCCATCATCATCATTCGTCAGACCAAAAGCAAATCCGAGAGCGAAAATGAAACACACGGCTAACACCGCCGCCAAACAGGAAGTAGTTTGGATTTCCGGTGTCATACCAGGGAAGGAGAGAAGGTAGGTGGTAGCCAACCCCTAAATGTTCAAATTGATTACGGTGGGTGGTGTTGGGTGGTGGTGGGCAGTGTATAGTGCGCCTGGATAGTTGACCCCTTTCCCGGGGTCAGCTCAGCCTCACTTTGAAATGCCATTAAAATGTATTTACAAACGCAAATTGATACTGATTTTCGGTTTTGGTGGGTTTCAGGTTCCCCCTTTGGCCAGGACCTGGTGGTCAACGCGTTGACGTTGGAGCTTAGCCACGCCAGGAGGATTTTGCCCGGCCTGCGTGTGTCCTGTCCTCTCCGCAACTAACCGCGACTAACCGAGGATGACTTCCAGAGTGCACCTAGTCAGGGGGGGTTTCCGGAGTTGAACGACCAGGCAGGAGAAGATTAGCCCTCCCTCTAAACCCCTCTACTTAGCTTTAGTTTCCACTGGAATAAAGTCTAGTTTCTGGTAGAGATTCCTCTTGGTTGAGGATCAGGCAGCAAGAGAAATGGTGGCCGCAATCAGACAGCTCACATGCCAAGTTAAACTGCAATTATTTTCAAATGAACTTCACTTGAAAAGCAATTCCGGGCATGTGTCTAATATATGCAAACAATTTAGCCAGCTGAGCGCAGGAGCATGTCCTGGCAGAAGGACGAAAGCCGAGAGCCCAGAGCCTGGGTAAACTTCGTAAACAAGAAGCGTGACAAAATGATAAAGTGTCGACTGGCAGTGGCTAAGAAAACAACAGCAACAACTTGTTGGGTGGGCCCCAAAGGCAGGCAGGTCCTGAGCTGGCAGAGGTCCTGGCAGGCAGGGCAGGAGTCTGAAGCAAGCAGAGACCCAATGGCAAAGTGAGCAATAAACATACGCGATTAAATTCATTATGAGCACTTGAATGGCACACAATACGAATGCGAAATGACAATCCTGATTGCGTTGTATGTCCTGGGAGTCCTTGCCAGTGGTTGAGGAGCTTCATACATCAATTCCACATTGTTTTCTGGTCAGGACAGGGAGCAAGGGAGGAGTCTGGCTAGGAGCTCCTCTTGTGCCAGTCTAATGTTTGCTGTTTCCTTCTGCCATCTGCAAAGGATACTCCTTCTGCCTTTTCCTAAGGACACTTTGCCTTTACTAATTGCGTTTCCTGGCATCAAAATCAACAGTGTTTCCGCTTTGATTTCTTTTTAGTATCCATCCCGGCTTAGTCCTGCCTTCTCGGCCCATAAACTTTACCCTAATTGGTACAATCAACAGTTTGGCGAGTCCACCAAATTAACCAGGACGAATTGTGGCATAATGTCCTGTTGTGCAGGTGCAGAAGGAGGTGGAGGAGGAGGCTGATGCAGGCAGGTGTGTAGGAGCCCCGCGATAATTGCTGTCACAAACAGGGGGATCCACGAACCAACCATAAACCGTTGGCTGGCGCCTGCATGTGTGCACCGCAGCTATCCACGTACCCATGTCCCTGCTCATGTCCTGTCCGCTATTTTTCACTCAATTTTGGGTTTGTCGTCTGCAGGCTGCAGGTGAGAGGACGCCGAGTTGGAGGTTACATACGCTGCTTGACCGCTTTGACCTGTTGAATTCGCCTCCTCATCATCATCATCATCAGGCGGCCAGGAGAAGCACCATCACCAGACCCATGAGGGACACTTTCAGCCCCACGGCTGAGTTAGCTTTGATCCAATCCCGATAATGATAGACATCGGTGTATACCCCAGCCGAGGTCTTCTCCCCGCAGCCCTCGCCGTAGGACACCACGCCGACTACCATGTTGTTGCAGAAGAGCGGCCCACCGGAGTCACCCTGACAGCTATCCACCTCGCTGTCGTCGCTATTTTTGGCACAGATCATGCCATTGGAATTGAAGTTCCATAGGTTCTCACATATGGAGTTGGGCAGGATTTGGACATCGCCATTGATGGCCTCATCGGCACTGGGACCGAACTGGATGGAGCAAGGATAAAAAAAGGATAAACAAATGATAAGCAAAGGACAAGCAAGTCGCGATCTCTCACCTGTATAACCGTGCCCCAGCCCACAACGGTGCAGGCTAGACCTGCGCTGGGTGACTTGTCGTTCAGGGACATAATGGCGGCATGTTCGTTGGTGGTGATCTCCTCCTTGAGCAGGATCAGGCCAATGTCATGCCGCAAGCGGCCGCTTCTGTACTTTGGATGAGGTAAAATCTGTCTGACCCGCAATTCCTGAGTGGAGGGTGCCTGCTCGAGCCTCTTGGGAGTGCCGGCATAAACCATAAGCTTTCGGGCCTGGTAAAGGCTGCCCCTACTGCGAGCGGAAAGGTGAGACACTGGCGGTGGATTTCCAGATTTCCCATATGTCTTACCTGCTGTACATGCAGTGTGCTGCCGTCAGGATGGCCCGAGTGCTGATGATGGTGCCCCCGCAAATGTGGTTTGTCCCAAAGTACTCCTTAGCAGCGCCCACGCGCACCGATACCGCGTACTTGACCAGTTCGTTGGTTGCCGGCCTATAGCCGCCCGTCACCAGATAGTGGAAATCGGAGGCACTGGTACCGTTGTCATCCTCGAACTTTCGGCGATGGCTTAGCTGGGCGAAGAAGAAGTTGGTGCCTTGGACCAGGTATGGCGCAATGCGGTGAAAAAATAGCAAAAAGCATGCAATGAATTTTGAGAATCTCATTTTTCGAATTTTAAATGTCATTACAGAAAAATATATATATTATATAAATAAATAAGGGTTGTGTTGTGGAGTTATGACACAAAATTGGAGTTTTAGAAATTAAAAAAAAATAATAATAAAATTTTTATTTAGTTTTCCTTATTTCTATTCTATTTGATAACTGATTTAAATGTGATAAAAAAGTATAAATGAATGATAAAATATATAGAAAGTACCTATATCTAATTTAAATACCAATTTTTTCGAAAAGAAGAACCTTTGACAGTAGTTTAGAAGGGATATAAACATATACATATACATATATTTTGGTGAGCTGTAATATAAACCTATATACATATACATTTTTGTGAGGCCAACAAAAAAACGTCCGGTCAAAGGACACTGGCAGTGGCCAAGGCTGATAGCTATTACAGCGATCCGATAAGCTAATGAAAAACTCGTCTTCATAAATAACTTGCATGCGTGAAGGGTCGAATGGGGGAGTGTGCGGGGTGTGTGTGTGCGGGGTGTGCGTGGTGAGTGCGGGTGTAAAGCAACAGGAAGCATTTATTTATACCCACTGCAGCTAGCCCACATACACACTCACCTCCTCCTACACCCTCGTAAGTAGTTGGTTGTTTCATGTCACTTAAGGCGGCGCTGCCTTTGGCCTGCCCTGGATTCCCGGCATGCCAGGCACTCGACGACGTCCTGGAAGCCTGTGGGGTGGAGGAGGAATGGGGGTGAAGTGAAGAAGGTGTTGGCCGGGGTCGTTATCATTAATTTGCAGCCTGCTTTTTGCAATAATTTACAAGATATTTTCTTTTTGCCAGCAAAGTCCCTGAAGGAAGGAGCAAGAAGCAAAAGGAGCTCGTGGTCTTGCCTGCCTTTAGCCTGCTTTTTAAGTTGAGTTGTCATTTTGCCCCGCTTACTAGAGACAAAATTGTAAGGAAAAAAAATAAGAGTAAAAAAAAAATTAAAGAAAAAATCGAAAGAAAAAGGAAATGTTGGCCATATATTTCAGGCTGAAGAAAGCAACTCTTTACCGTCCATCACCAAGCCTGATAATGGGGGGAGGAGGTGCCTAGCCACAGTTAAAGCCCAGCAATTAGCAGGAATCTAGGACTATCTACACTGATAAAAAAATCTTCTCTCAAGATTTTTTGAATTTTGAAAAAAAATTATATTAATATAAGATCAAAAACTATAAAAATTTTATTTTAGATTTCGATTTAAGATTTTCCACATTCTTAAAAAAATCTTTAATTAATATCAAATATTCTAAAAATAATACGAAATAATAATAAACCAATACGCAAAAAAACGTTTAATTTCAAGAAATGAAAATCTTAAATTAGAATTTTTGTTATACTTAAAATTCCAGAAGAATAAAATCTTAATATAAAAAAAAAATAAACTAGATTTAAAATTTTTCCCAAAATTTTTAAATTAAACATTTTTTTATTTAATTTATATTTAAATTTTTTTTTTACTTAATCGCTCAAAAAAATATTAATATTTTTGTAGTGCGAAAAAATAACACTAAAAAATAGTGATTATTTGATGATGTTATTTTTTTCGCTGTAAATAACAATAATTATTTTTTGAGCAATAAAATAACAAAAAAATGTGTAAATTCAATTAAATTAAAGATATATTAAAAATTAAAATAAAAATTAACATTTAAAAATATTCATTATTTATTTTGTGATATTTTTTCGCTCAAAATAATGCTAAATATTCTTTGAACAATTAAATAATACTCAAAAATTAACAATTAAAATGTATTTAATATTTAAATATCCAGATTTTTATAATTCGTGTTTTTTTCTTAGTGAATAATTTTCTTATTAAAAGAAAATATTGATAATTATTATTTGCGGTCCCTGATTTAATGAGAAAAATTCTCAATTTTTTTATCAGCGTACGGAAAGCAACAAGACGAACGAATCTGAATCGAAATCGCTGGCCAGGAGCAGCTGCAGCCGTTCCCCTGGACGGCAGCCAAAACAATTATGGCACCTGACTGCCCTCAGATAGCAGATAGAACGAACTCCTCCGCACGGAGACCAGTGTGTGTGTGAGCTGTGATTATTGTTGCCTTTTACAGTTTTAGCTAAAGCAGACAACAGACACGGACAGGAGCAGCAGGACAGAGGACCTGCTTGCCTGCCTGCCAGGATATTTGTTTGCATACATTGATTGAATTTGTTCACGCCATTAAATTTGCAAATTGCTATCGGCAATTTTGCATAAACTGCACTGTAAGATTTAACCGCACGGCATCCCTCTCGTCCTGCAAGGACAAGGCCAGTACCAGGACCAGTCTCTCTGTGTGTGTGTGTGCGTGTGAGAGTGTCCTGCGAGTCATTAACTATTCATATGGCAAACCATAGCAAACCGGCAGAGAGTGCAGGCACTTGATGACACATTTGATTCCGCCTGTCGTCGCCCCGAGGTCCTGGGAATTGTCAGCACTCCAGACTCCAGACTCCAGACCAGACTCTGCAAGGATATGCTGCCAGAGAGAGCTCAAAACCGGTCTGGTTGACCTTTATCTGATCCGCATTTAACAGGCATAAACACTGTTTAAGCTTTCCGAAGGCCTGGAAAATTGAAATTATCCCACCGCCGGGATGGAGTCCTCGAACTGGGACACACACACACACACACACACACACAGTAGCAGAGAGCGGAGCAGCGATTGTGATTGCTAGGCAGCTTAAAGAGGCAAACCAAAGTTGAAAGAGGAGGCGCGGGCTGGGCGCCATTTATTTACATTAACCAGAAACGAACTCTCCCTGAACTGCCTCGAAATTTATGATAAAAGTTGTGCCGCGCAGCCTCAATATTTCTCATTTCGCGCGAAGGTCGGCAAACGGGGAGTGTAGGTCACCGGGTAGTCCTGCCTGGAATGGGATCACCGTCAGGACGAAGGACGATCATCATCGCATACCTACCTTGCCCCAGCTCAGTCCTCCTTTTCTGCAAATTACTTTTCCGCTCCACCAGAGAGAGAGAGAGAGAGAGAGCTCTGTCATAATGGACATAATCCTAATTATCTCTGTCATTTGTCTCGCTTTCTCTATGAAAGAGTGGACTGGAGCTCCTTGTGCTCCTTTGAAGGCAGCCAGCAGGCAGGAACTCCCCAGCTTAATTACATTTTTTCTCCCTGCCTCCTGGCGCTGCAATTTTTTCCACGGATGATTGAATTTGGAAATGCTGCTGGCTGTCGGCTGCGTTCCAGCTCTGGGCTGGCCATGTCCTGTGTCCTCCGGCTGGGTTTCCGTCTCCGTCTCCATCCTTTTCCTTGAAATTACATTAGTTGCACTTGCGGCCGCGACTTATCTTATTAAGAGCAGTCATAGATAGCCGGCTTTCAGTCCATCAGCTTCACATCTGATATACCAAAAGTAAGGATGGTGAACTCTTAGGGGGTCCTTGTTATGATATCCTTAGATTAGGGTCATAAAAGAAACAACATAAAAAGAAAGAGGACAAAAGAAAGCTAACTTTCGAATTTTAAGATTTATTGTAATTTGGATTTAATATAATTTGGATTAAATATAATTTAGATTTAAAAAAATTTTAACTACAAGAAGGATAGCCTATATTTTCAAAAATAAAATCCCAAATATATTCCCAAATTATATTAAAAATAAAAACTTTAATAAATTTCAATAAAATTTCCCATATGCCCAAATTATATCACACAAATAAATATGTAGACTACCAGATTTCAAGCTTAATTATCCCTAGAGATTTGTATCAGTTTTGATTTTGATTTCCATTCACAACAATAATAACAACAACAACGAAGCCCCCCCTGCTGTAACATAATCTGTGCTTCAAGCTGGAATAAGTTTCGGGCAAACAGATCCTCCTGATGGTCCTGCCTCGACAGGCCTCCGCCACAAAGTGGCTTATTATAATTTGCAAAATAAACTAACTGTATGCTTTGGGTTGCCCGCTTGTCTGTCTAAAAGTGAAAATAATATTGTAGTTGAAATATCAACATTGACGTGCTGCGCCCGTGGGCCCCTGTGCTGTGTGCGTGTGTGTCTGCCAGTCTATGTCTCGTTTCTGTGGCTGGTGGTGGCCTTTCGCCTGCTCCACCCGAAAAAGGGTTCGATTGCACGTCCTCACACACCCATCCAGACCCCCCACCCACACCATCAGCCACGTCTGTTTGGATATCGTGCCTGTCTCTCTCTCTTTTGGCTGCCAGACAGCTGGCCGGGCATTCAGCATAAGCATATTAGGCGTTGCCATTCGACAGCGCGTTGGGTCCGGGTTCAGGTCCACGTCCAGGTCCTCGTCCTCGTCCTGGTCCCGTCCTGCTCCTGCTCCTGTAGCTGTGGGTGTGTGACACTAAAACGTGACGTTGAATCCAATGCGATGCTCAAGCGTGTGAAAATACCAGAAAGACGTGTTGCTATCAAATGGTACGCTTGCCGCGCGTGTGCTCTTGCCCGCCAAGCGTATTTATGGCGCACTCGTAAGTTAACAGACAGCGGAAGTGATACATCAAGGACATACACACACACACACACACACGTCCCTGAGCGATTCGTCTTTACACGTTTTGAATTAATCCCAGGCAGTTACTTAACCAACAGTTTTGAATCCACTTCGAGCTGCAGAGAGAAGTTCAAGAGGAGATGGGATTATAAACCGCACAGCAAAGTGGACAGAGTCGAGGTGGAGGTTTTAGCTAGAACAGGTCCTAGAAAGGAGCAGAGTTCCTCAGGCTTGGTTTTAGGTCCATGATCGCCGCTGCTCAATTAAATCTCCAACGCCCCCCAGCCTAGCTGGTCATGTCATCCTGTCATCCCTAAAGGGGCGTGGTGCCTGCTCTTGGTGGTGCAATGCTTTTTCCCCTTTAATACCTTAACCTTGGCTGCCGCTCCTTGTCAGCGCCAGATGAGTGACTGGGTCCTGGCCCTGCCCTGCAGCCAGATTAGCGCCTAATGTCGCAGGACCTAAAGGAACTAGGGGAGTGTGAGCTAGCTAGCTAGATGGTTTATCCTTTGTGCTGGGGCGTGGATCCTCCTGGTG